GAACGAGCCCCTGATGGTGTGGCTAGGTCCTATGATGGTGTCCCTTGAATAGATATGCAGACAGAGTTGGCAACGGGGTTTGTTGCAGGGATTGGTGTTTTTGTTGTGTGGTGTGTAGTTGCTGGTGAGTATGTGCTTCAGGTTGGGGGCTGTCTGTAAGAAGGTAAGCATCAAGGTTAAGAATAAAACTAGAGGAAAATAAGGGTCAAGCTTACACAAGAGTAATAGCAAGTGTATCACACCACAGGGCAGCTAACTGCTGTGCAAATAATGGAGTTTTGGTTTGTGGTAATTATGAAAAAATAAAGTTGTTTAGGGTTAAATTGACAGATTTAAACACAAAAAAAAAAAACTACTCCCACATGAAATATTTCATTCATTGTTTAAGTTTAATAGATGTGAAGGAAATGTCAAAAATGAAAAGCCACTTCACAATGTCTTAAAGTATCAAAATGAAATGTTTTGACTTTCAGAATTACATGCACAATTCATCAAAACAGACAAAATATTTTAGTGCTGTGGAATTTCCATTTTTTGGAAGAAAAAAGTTGAATTGCATCCAGCTCTACTTGCTCCCTCCAGATCAGCTCTCCTTTCTTTAGGTACCTAGATGTGAAAACTGTCCAAGTGGCATTAGGGGACAGGTTAGGGCAAAGGGAAGTAGATTTAGCTTGAGAGCTAACTTGGACAATTTGACTATTAATTACTGCACAGGTGCTAAGCTACAAGAATTGTTCTCCCCATCAGTTAAACAAACATTACCCTCATAAAACAGCAGCATTAGCACAGCTGTGAGGAGAGATTAAAGAGGCTAGGACTCTTCAGCTTGGAAAAGAGGAGACTAAGGGGGGGATATGATAGAGGTATATAAAATCATGAGTGATGTGGAGAAAGTGGATAGGGAAAAGTTATTTACTTATTCCCATAATACAAGAACTAGGGGTCATCAAATGAAATTAATAGGCAGCAGGTTTAAAACAAATAAAAGGAAGTTCTTCTTCACACAGTGCACAGTCAACTTGTGGAAGTCCTTACCTGAGGAGGTTGTGAAGGCTAGGACTATAACAGAGTTTAAAAGAGAACTGGATAAATTCATGGTGGTTAAGTCCTGGCTATTAGCCAGGATGGGTAAGGAATGGTGTCCCTAGCCTCTCTCTGTCAGAGGGTGGAGATGGATGGCAGGAGAGAGATCACTTGATCATTGCCTGTTAGGTTCACTCCCTCTGGGGCACCTGGCATTGGCCACTGTCGGTAGACAGGATACTGGGCTAGATGGACCTTTGGTCTGACCCGGTACAGCCTTTCTTATGTTCTGTAACAAAACACCTTCTTTGAATCACTAACTGATAGTGGAACATAATATAGTCCAGTATGGATGGATGTTGGGGAGAAGAGATGCTCTTGGCACAGATATGCTAAGTTGGTATACAAACTTAAGTAGTTATACAAAGGCAAATGGACATTACGCCCCCCTGAGCCTTATGGCTTTGCAGAGATGCCAGAAGCATTCAAACTAATGCATCACACCACTACCTAACCTGTTTTGCAAGCCATTTCATAAGCTAAGGTGAAAGGGTGCTGTGCAGTGATCATGTATGGAGATTTATCTGCAGGAGGAAGACAATATAGCGTGAAAGAAGGGAAAATATTCTTGGTACCCAAGCTATAATAAGGTCACTGAAAAATGAGTTCAAGGGAAACTGACAGTGGCAGCCTTTACATTCTGTGGATGTTCTGAGTGGTCAGACTGCCACATCTAAAATGACATGTATTTCCTATTAAACAGGAAACAGCTGATTGTTATTTTCTGTACCTAGAATGGTAAGTAACTAGTGTTTAGTTACTAAAGCATTTGTAAGTTAGCATAGTAGTAGTGGCAACTGCTGTATGTTGAGGATACAGGGATAGAGTCAGGAAGTCAATCTGCAAAGTACATGCTGAAGTGATCTCTCTTAACTGGCCTCCAACTAAAAGGATGTTAAGAGGATAGAGACTTAAGTAACGATTGAACTTGAAAGAATTGCACCTATAGAGAAAAATTCAATGCCAATAGTAATATATTTGCTAACCTTTCCACTGAAGAGAATCCTTGTGCATGAGGGGTTCTGACAATTGTAGTTTTTAACATTACATCTAACTTTTTGGGGCACAGTTTTACAAAGCCACCAAAAAAAAAAAAAAAGAATTCAAGTGTAACCTCTCTGCCAGGTGCAGGCAGCAGCAACCAGGGCTAGGTTCAATATCTAGGATTTCCTCTCCCTCAATACAACACAGAACTGACTCCAGGCCCCACCCAGTAACCTGGGGAAATTACACACCACTCCTGGGTGCCTCTAGAGGAAATGCTTCCCCATTTGCAAGCACAGTGTCTGAGTATAGAAAACAAACATTTTAATAAAAAGGAGGGAAGTAACTCAGTGTTAATTTGAGAACACTGCAAACAGGGTTCATAAACAAACCATGACCAAAAGTCCCTTCCCCCCCACCCAGGAAGTTGGGCAGTGTCCTTTTCCCTTCAGGTTCTTAAGTCCAGCAACCAAAAGTCCCTTTCACGTGCCTGACCCCTCACTGCACCCCACTCAGTTGTTGTCCTTGGTCAGTGCAGGCCCAGAGTTGCATCTGCAGATTTTAGAGAGAGCGAGAGAGGCTCCTTACATGCTCTGCTACTCGAGTGCTTGGTTGCTGCCCTTGCGTAGGGTTCTGCTCTGGTCCTCTACCAGCTGCCCACCACACATCTCTGCAAGCCACCCTGCTGGCCACATACTCACCAGCCAGCTATCCGTCACTTGCTTCTCTCTGCTGTGACCTCTGCACATCAGTTTTAGTAATTTCCAGCTGTTAAGAGGCTGGGAAGTAACACAGCCCCACCTCAAGTGAGTTCAGCTCTGATTTTTAGTTCTAAGCAGGCAAGGCAAAAACAGTCCTACCACAACTGGTTTCAGTTCTGATTAAGCAATTAGAGCAGATACTCCTAATGAAGCCTATTTAGCTCTATTCTTTGAATAGTTATGAGGAACAGGTTAAACCTGTCTGAACCTTCACCAAGAGTCTTCCATAAGCTCCTAGCTGGGCTCTCTGTCCCCACCCCTCTTACTTTCACTGGGCTTGGGCATTCAGGCCCCTCTCTTAATGAGGTTCTTTCAACTGAGGGTGACCCTTTATTTGGGACAGGTTAAGCACAGTCATGCTTTCCTGTATTCCTACAACAATTACAACTTTGTTAACTATTGCACTATCCTGCATTTAGTATCAAGGCGATTTGTAACTCAACAGCAGCCAGAGTTGATCACTGACACCAGTCTGTTTGCTCCTGCTCTGCTAGTGACCCTGTTTCCCCCAAAATAAGACATCCCCTGAAAATAAGACCTACTTTGTTTTGCCTCTCGCTGTAATATAAGGCATCCCCTGAAAATAAGACCTCCCCATAATAAGGCCACCCCGGAATATAAGGCCACCGCCAGGACAAGAAAAATAAGACCTCCCCTGAAAATAAGACCTAGCGCATCTTTGGGAGCAAAAAATTAATATAAGACACTGTCTTATTTTTGGGGAAACACGGTACAAACACACCCAAAGTCTCTCCTCCTCCCAGCTAGCTCTAAGGAAAGCATTCATTCAGACCCTGGTTATACCAGATATTGATTAGACTTCAAATATGCCAACACTGCCTTTTGCTTGATGTGAACTCATTTTGAAATGCACCAAGACCTGCAGAAAGTCTAATTCAGAAGGAGGACCTGCTCCCGCAGGGAACATAAGCCCACTGTTTTTCACATCAATAGTTTTATGCCTGGGTCTCTCCTCCTCGCTGTAGCTTCAATGTATAATTGTGCCACATTGGAAAGGATGTGAAAAAGCTACTTTCTACAGGAAGACCTGCTCTGCAACAGTAGCTAGGAAGGTTACATAGTTCTCCTCAGTTTGGAGGGGGTAGTCGTGAGAAAGGGAACATTGATCAGAAAGGGTCTAGTAAGGGAAACTGAATGGGACACTTTCAGCTGAGAACATCTGCTCATTTCCAGCTCTGAAGTGCTCAGTGAGTGGTCTTCAAAGAGGTTGTTGTTCAGTGCCTAGTAAAGCTTGCCAACTACATCTTGTTTATGTGAGGTCTCATTCTTGCCAACATTTAGGACTAGCACTAAGCAATGGAGCCCTTGCTAGGCCTTCTGGACCAGGATTATGCTATGTTTGAAGGGATCAAGGAATGAAATTGTACATTGCTATCCAAACCAAATTCTCTAAAGAGAAGTTTCATAACACTAGAGAGTGATCATTAAATCAAGAGACTCATTTGAGAATGCAGGTAGTATTTATTTTATACAATATTGTTTGACTCATAGCAGTGGCATGTTAAGCAGAACCTATCACTTCCCTTTAAGAAAGGGAGGCAGCAAGACAGTTGTTACAGAGAGAGATCAAGTCTAAATACAAAATAGGATTAGAGTCTAGTAGATTGACAGCCATTGTTAACTTGTTTTATAAGGGCAGGCAGAGTGCAAGCAAGGTCTTTTGCACTAAGTCTCTACAGGTAGAGGGTTTCTTTCCAATATAAGATGGCAACCTGAATTGGCTCTTTTACCAGAGATATTTCTCCCAGAAACTGCAGTAATCAGCTTCTGACCAACACACTGACTTTTGAGCATTAGGGTTACAAGTTGGACTTTGCTTTGAGCCTCACAGGCAGCCAAACGATCATACACTAGACCTGATCATAAACTGTTTGCACATGCAGGAGTATAAGCGCCAACAATTGATTTGAGACAGCAAACATGAAAAAAGTCTCAGCATTTCAGAACAAAGGAGTTCCAGGCCCATTGAATTGGTCAAGAGAAACTGTATGGATGTCAGTTTCCTGCAAGGTAAAGGCAACAGGTTTATATTATTCTCTGAAGGATGTCAAACATAGGTCTTAGTCTTCAGCCTATAGGTCTGTCATGTCCTTTACAATGAGAGTTCAGAGCTTCTGTTGTCCTCCTTTGTCTAGAGGCAGCTAGGATAGTCTAGTCCTTCTCCACTTTATCATCCACTGCAGAGTCTCCAGATGGAGCAAAGGGTCCCACAATCCATGTGAGGGGAATGTTGTGCACCACATACTCCAGAAGCTCATTCAGAGACTCCTGTGCTTTGGTCACCTTCTCTCTGCTCTGGGAGAGGACACTGCTGGAGAGATCCTGGAAGGAAGCAGCAGTAGAGAAGGAAGCATGGAGGTCTTCTAGGCCGCTTAGGATCTGCTGGACCTGGTCCTGCATATTGGCTGGGAGGCCCTGGATGCTGGATACTAGGGTGAGACAGATGGCCTGCAAGTGATGGATGATGCTACGTGAAACAGCCAGTGTCTGAGACTCAATCAGCTGTGAAGAAGCAAGTTAGCAATTAATGGGAGAAAAACCCATGTATAAAAAACATTCATACATTATAATTAGAGTGCACGGTTGAATGCATGACATCTGAATACTACCTCTAAATTTAACTACTAATAGTCCTGTGATTTAAACACTAGAGTTAACCTCAAATAATTCTAGACTGTTCTTCAGTAAGGGTGATACCTCTGGCTTTGCAGAGTCTTTGTCCTCATTTGCTCCTATCTCCCTCCTGCTCCACTCCTGCCACATTTGATTCAGCTTCTCTTGGCCATCATGAAGCTTCAGACCCACAGCCTCTTTAGCATAGTCAATCTGGAGAGATTAAAAGAAAAGAAAAAAAAAAACGAGATGCTTGAAGTCTGACTTCAGTGAGAAACAGTAATGTCTTTAGAGGGCTGTGGATTCCTGTCAAAATTCTGTCACTCAATACAAAAAGGTTGGGAATGCTTCTGCTGCCTTGGGGTGATGGCTCCTCTGGTTATTGGTAGATCACCCAGCCAGAGGCGGGACTAAGGGGGAAAAAAATGTCCTCTGGAATATGCCAAGTGATGGATATTTTAAAATAAAAGACTGACAGGAGACATCTGAGCTCTCCCCATCCCATGTCATAAGTTGTCCTGTATATCATACTAAATGTTTTCATGGAAACATTCATGAGAATCACAGCTCATTACAGGTCTGTTGACTATCGTAAGACAAGACCATCTTGCAGAGTACATGGGGGAGAAATAGAGTTCTGCAGTGTGCTGTGAGCCAGGCTAAACTTCTGCTACAGCTTCATTTTGACTAGAAGTTTAAGTGAACCAGCTACAAAATGGAATGTGTGTCAGTACAATGGCTGTGTCTTTTATATCTTACCTGGGAGACATGAAAGGCAACATCTTGTGTAAGAACGTTTGTTTAGTCTACTGAAGTGTTTAGCAATTGGATGTGTTGGCATCTCACGTTTTAGTGTACTCAGATCTCAAGGGGCAGTTTGTGTTTTAGAAGGTGTGATTTAGGTGGTCTGCAAGAGATGCTTTTAGATCAATTTCTTGTCCCCAGGATTTGATGGCAACACTGGAAGTGTCAGAATCAGTTTAAACTGAATCAGACTCTGGAGCAGAGGCTGGATTTCACAAGACATGGCTGGGAAAGTGAGTACATGGGGCCCTGCTTATGGTTGAGAGCTTTTTGCTTGCCTCTATTTCCTTAGTAGATACATGCACCACATGACAGGTGAATCTGAAAGTATTTGCAAGATTAAAAAAAATTGGCAGCAAATCCTGAGGAAGTAGTATTTCTCCACCTCTCCAATCCCTCTTGCTTTTACAGACTGACCTGTGAAGAAGCAGGCTGTACCACCACAGCGACAATGCTCTAAGCCTTGCTATTGTAGGCAAATATAGGCATCCAACAGAAAGCTATTCATATATAGCATTCATCACTATACAACTCCATGACAATGCTTTTAGGGGGAACCCCTCCCCCCCTATGATTTGCATTCCCTACCAGATCAATGGTTTGCTGAAGCTGGAAGAGGGCCTCCTTTGTACTTTGTCCAACTTGTTTCACCTTGCCCAGGGAGTGCTGGTAGGCCCGTTGGCGGAGTTTGGTTGAAAGGGAACCCAAACGTACATAGTAACTCTTTGGCTGTCTCTGCTGCTCTACTGAGGCCACTTCAAACCCCTCCAGAGATGTTGCAAGCTTAACTGAAAGGAATGAGAAGAACAAGGTTTAATCCTAGTCAAGGCTGAGAGTCAGATGAAGTACCATGGTGATGGGGGTGGGGGCAGGAGGCCATAATTTTGATCTGTTGTAATCACTCCTTGGTGCTAGGAATCCTTTCCCCAATTTGGGCTTGTGCAGCACAAACACATTCTTAGTTAACTCAGTACCCAGAGGATTTCATTTGATACATCAAAGGGCCAACAAGGCCACATAATTGAACTAAAATAGGATCAGTAATTTACAGCCAAGGACAGGTGTTTGTGTTAATCTAGTCACTAGAGGATTAGTATTTGTGTACTAGTGTAGTAAGAAGCAGACTCCCAATGACAGCGTAGAATAGGGGCTATTCCAGTTACAACAAAGTGCCTGCAGCCTGTCTCAGGTCAGCCTCTTTAAATAGCTTTAGTACAAGATGGGGGAAGGGGGAAGTCATTATCTAGTGGACTAGCAGGCTAAAAGATAATCATTGGAAAGGTCTGACAGGTTATCCAGATTAAGGAACTGCCTTTGAGAGCTGATCTACTAGTTAAGAGTTCATGCTGCTAAAATACCCTGTATTCAGAGTCCAGACCAACTGGGAAATCTATGCACTTAAGAGATTTTATAGAAAGCATTACATAAGATGGGCTACAGTGGATCAACACCTGCATGGTACTCACCTGTTTAGAAAAGGAAGGGGAACAGGAGCAGTAAATAAAGCTTTAGCATCTATTGTATTCAGTAAGCTTTGGGATGGTAGAGACCTAGATGTGTGAACAGTCACCATCAGCTCTGTAGTACCTGCAGGTATACACCCACCCCTGAAATCCTAAATTAACTCAAGTTTGCTGCAGACAATGCAGTACTAGGAAGCCATGCCAATCAGCCCCATGTTATGGGCCAGAAGCTCAAAGGCTGCACCAGGTAGCCTCAGTGAAGACATGTTAAGTAGCATCTTGAGATTAGAGATGTATGTTCATTTTGGTAGAGTCAGAGTTGTAGTTCTGATCCTGCATGCCAACACCCTCCCCCACTCCCGGTGGAATGCATGCTTTATGGGAGGGATGTTTGTGAAGATACTGTAAGTGGCAGATAATTATACAATTAAGGTATGATTAGACATTTAACATTAGAAAAATTGAGATTCTCCAGGAAGTCAGGGTTCTATCTCCTAGATTTAGTGTACTGGGAAGAGTGCACTGACCTAATTCTTCATCTGTTATTGGGAGGTAGAAGTCCACCAGTTCCTCTGATTTCCCCAGCAATGTGTCAATGCTGCTCACAACCTTCTGCCCCACACTGGATTCCATGACAGCACTCATGCTGCTAGTCATTACAGATCTGGTGGCATCCATACTACCCTGCACAGTCTCTTTTGTCTTGCCCATCATTCCAGTTACTACATCCTTTGCTTCTGTGACAGCACTGACAACTGCATCCTTGGTGCCTGTTACTGTGGAAGATACTAGCTCCTTGGTGTTTGAGATCACCTAGAAAAAAAAAAAGTGGTGTTAACAACAGATTATGAATGGGTACAAGAGTGGTTTTAGTGGGGGATGTGCCATGCTCTGTCCATACAGTTTTTTAGTCTTAGGCTTCAGCACCAAATTCACTTCCTTATTTTCCACTAGTAGTTTCTTCCAGCAGAACAGCCTTCATTTGGGGCAGCTCCTTACTGCCAGCCTTTGTTTCAAGGCAGCCATGTGGTTTGGCCAAGGCCTTATGACCAGGGACTGCTCCCATGACTATGACATCAGAATCCACTCACTTAGATTATTCTAATCAAAGTAAGATTGCTGCATCCTTCTGTCCAATAGTTCTCTTGACAAAAAAAAAGTTACCTTATCAGCTGGCTGTTGAAGGATTGGCAGTTTCTCCTCCAGCTTGTTCAGTCCTTTGCAGGCATATTCGTTTACTGCTGCAACTGTAAAAAGCCAACTTTAGTCCCTCAAAGTTCCTTTCAGTTTTAGCAGAGTTCCCTGGAGTATCAGAGAAAGCTTGGAACTGGGACAACTGATTTCAAGAGACTAAGTCAGAGGAGGTCCCGTTACAATGTTTACAGTACCTAGACAAATGGGATCTGGACTGTATCATTTAGGACACGGAGGTGCTCCCATACTACAAATAAGCTGATTGTGGGTGAGAAGTCTATGGCTTGCTATACCTCTAGGAAGAGCCTGTCAGTAAGTTAATGTTTAATTATGCAGGCAGTTTGGAAAGAAATGTTTTAGAATCATAGGACTGGAAGGGACATTGAGAGGTTATCTAGTCCAGTCCCCTGCACTCATGGCAGAAGTATTATCTATACCATCCCTGATAGGTGTTTGTCTAACCTGCTCTTAAAAGCTTTACTAAAGTCAAGATATGCCATGTCTACTGCTTCCCTCTGGCCCCCAAGGCTCGTTACCCTGTCAAAGAAAGCCATCAGGTTGTTTGGGCATGATTTGTTCTTGACAAATCCATGCTGACTATTACTTATCACCTTATTATCTGCTATTGTAAATTATAAGTTAGTAAAGCCCTACTTAACTTGTGATATTGAGGCTTCCACACTATGAGGCTTCTGCAACATTAGGCTTTTGCTGCAATTTTGCCTGTAGGAGCTCTGTGCTACTGCTGACAGCAACCCCCCCCTACCCCTACTCTCAGCTGTGTGGTCCCAACAACAGTGGAAAATTGCAGAACAGTAATGACTTAATTACTGCAAATAAGGGCCATTACTACTTTTCTGCAATTTTCCCATACCTTGTCCACAACTGAGCCACAATTTTGACAATCATCCCACAATTCATGTAGGGCCTACAAACTAGTGTTTGGCTACGGTAAGTCAAACTTGGTTTTTAATGTTGCTATATTGCCTTTAGAATCTAAAAAAAAAAAAATTGATCCTGCTCTCCATTAAGTCATGACAATAGCAAGACCTTTGTCTTCAAATTAAGGAATCTGAACAGTGAATCAGATTAGGGCTGAAGAGACCTCAGGTGGTCAGCTAGTCCAACCCCCTGCTCAAAACAGGACCAACCCCCAACTAAATCATCCCAGCCAGGGCTTTGTCAAGCCAGGCCTTAAAAACCTCTAAGGATGTAGATTCCACCACCTTCCTAGGTAACCCATTCCAGTGCTTCACCACCCTCCTAGTGAAATAGTGTTTCCTAATATCCAACCTAGACCTCCCCCACTCCAATTTGAAACCATTGCTTTTTGTTCTATCAATAGAATAGCTCCATCCTCTTTGGAACCCCCCCCCTTCAGATAATTGAAGGCTGCTATCAAATCCCCCCCTCACTCTTCTCTTCTGTAGAAGAAACAAGCCCAGTTCCCTCAGCCTCTCCTCATAAGTCATGTGCCCCAGCCCCCTAATCATTTTTGTTGCCCTCCATTGAACTCTCCAATTTGTCCACATCCTTTCTGTATTGGGGCCCAAAACTGGATGCAATGCTCCAGATGTGGCCTCACCAGTGAGGAATAGAGGAGAATAAATCACTTCGCTCGGTCGGCTGGCAATGCTCCTACTAATGCAGCCCAATATGCCATTAGCTTTCTTGGCAACAAGGACACACAGTTGATTCATATCCAGCTTCTTATCCACTCTAATCTCCAGGTCCTTTTCTGCAGAACTGCCACTTAGCCAGTTGGTCTCCAGCCTGTAGCAGTGCATGGGATTCTTCTGTCCTAAGTGTAGGACTCTGCACTTGTCCTTGTTGAACCTCAGATTTCTTTTGGCCCAATCCTCCAGTTTGTCTTGACAGTGGTTTTATTTATGGACATTTGTCAGATTTATCTGTCCTGGCAAAACCACATCTCAATGAAAACTGCTTAAGGTTTACCTTCTGTACTGCTGGCTGCATTTCATCTGATGTGTGCAATTGATTTTTGTAGGCCAGTACTGTAGTATTTAAGGTTATGCTTTAGCTGGTTAAGTTACCCAGCAGTTTATTGGCTGGTAAGTAAGCTGTCAACTTGGACAGGAGTAGATAAACTTACTGTAGGTTTTACAGATTTGACTGTAAAGCTGAGCAATATTTGTTTGGCATATTTACTAATAAGACAGAATTTGTCAGTTTTGATGAGCAAAGTTGCCAAAGGTCAAGACAAAACCCAACTGCCAAGAGTAAAAACCTATAAGGAAAGACCTGTTAATAGTTTTCTGCCATCCCTCCTGTTTGTCTGCATGTTTATTTACATTGTGGGTTTTTCAGAGCAGGATTGGTCTTAAATGTCTATGTTGCCTAGTAGTTTTGGATGCTATATAAAATATATTATCCTCTTCTTTGGAGGTGATGTCAGCACATACAGAGCGAACCTGCACTATTTCACATGGAAACGATGCTTCACCTTCAGCTCCCTCCCAATATGCCTTTTTGCAGAAATGCCCATCACCCAGATACAGCATTACTCACTCTGAGGTTCAAGCGTGGTCAGAATTGGTTGTACACCATCAACTGCAGCAGTAGCAATTGTCTTTGCTCCCATCTCTGCAACACCACAGACTGACTTGATGAGTGAATGGTCTTCTTTAGTGGCAGTGTAAGTAGTAGAAACCTTGTCATAGGTAGAGCTGACCAGTGGCAGATTGGCCACCCTACTCACTACACTCTAAGAAAGGGAAGAAAGTTAGAGTCCAGCTGGTTAAACAGATTCTCAGTAACACTTGCACAGATACCCTTTCCCATCTGAGAATCTTAGGGCTGTTGAATCAGTACCACCTAACTTTTTCAGGGACTCCAGCAAAGGTTTAGTTTTTCCTTCAGATACCTCCTTATGGTAGTTTTAATGCCCAGAAGTATTTTGCTGAGAGGCCTTGCAATTTAGCAAGAACTAATCTATCACTTGCAATTAGTTTTGCAAGTCTGTTCCTGGGATAGAACTAGAATGTTTGCAGACTGAAGAGAGACTTATGTCAGGATGTCCCACCTAAGATGCTCTACTAGCCTATAAAGTCCAGGAAAGCAATCTTGTTTAGATTCATTTAAGGTGCTACTATCCACACCTGTAGGCAGTGTTGAAGCTTGCCAATAGTGTACAGTAGTTTGATCAGTAGGTACAATTAGCACCAATCACACACAAAAAGGTAGGACTCTTCCTTCACCAATCCCAAGAAAGCTTCAGATAATAGATAAGATTGTGGCATGAGCTGAAGCTTTGGGGACCCCCTACTATCAGCTACCAATTATGCTCAACTCCCAGTGAAGTCAGGCTCTGACAGACCCAAAGGGAACATGTTCCAGAGTTGAAGACTACACATTAGAGAGATCTGATGTGATTTCATTCTGGCAGTGGTTGTGTTGTCATTTCTAGTTTAACACATGAATTAGTTTAAGGCAAGAAGGGACCATTGTGACCTAGTCTGGTCCTGCAACAGACAGGCTGTAGAATTTCATCCAGTAGTTTGTTCCCATGTCTTCTGGAAGAATTAAAGTATTTCTTTTAGAAACACCCAATCTGATTGTGGTTATATAGGCTAGTTTACAAGCCTGCTTTAATTCTACCTACTTAGCAACCAATAATGTACCTACCTGATGCTCCTGATCAACAGTCTCTAGGAAAGCAGCATTTGTTTTGTTTTCGTCTATAGACATGATGAAGTTAGATATCACTGAAAAGAATGAAAAAGGTGAGGCATTTTATCCTGAGCCATACCATTCTCTGCAAGATAGAGCTCTAAGTACAACAAGCTAAAGATTGCCATCGACTCCTTCCTGCTTTCAAAGCTTATTGTGAAAAAAAGGGGCATTAGATAGTAGCAAGTGCTGTTCCAAATACACAGAGGGGAAGGAGAGAGTTTGCATCTACCAGGAAAGAAGTCATCAGGAGAATTTGAGAGGATAGCATATTGCACCTGACATGATATAATCTATCAGGAGAAAAGACATGCCCAGCAATTCTTCGGTTTCCTAGAAGTGTAAGAATCACTTAGGAGGTGCTAGTTTCTTTAGTTCTGGTCACAAGGTCAGTCCCACCTTCCTAATTGGAAGATTAGTGTAGAACTTTGTAAGTGGGGCCAGGTGTTGTTACTCACTCAGATAGGGCCAGCTCTGGGAGTATGCAAATACTGACCACCAGAGGGTCAGCCTTTCGTATGTCCAGTTACAGGGTTGCTTCTGACAGGTGGTTAGGGCTAGGTCAGCAGTACACAGTGGGCCAGGTTTTTTTTTTTTTTTTTTTTTTTTTTTTTTAAACTTTGAGGTAGTGGGCAAACCCCCTAACAGTAACTTTATTTAGCCAAAGGAGTTGAGACTCCTTAGTCCATCTCATCTGTTCAGATGGAGATAACTACACAAACTAAAAAGGGAATATCGAGGGTTACAGTTGAATTGTGTTTGGCAGACCATTATTGTACCACTTCCATGTGAATTTGATTTCCAGAAGACTCTTATTCAGAGAAGTTTGTCTCAATTGGAATTTCTATTCCGACTTTCAAGGTCACCCATTGCCCCCCCCCACATTCAGATGGGCATTTCTTCTGATTTTGTTGGAGAGTCAAAGAAGTCAAGACATCACCACATTAGTGTTAGTTTGGCCTCTAAAAGAGCTAGTACACCGTATAAATATAAATTAGGACTTTCCATAGCCATCTATGGCAATATACTGTCTCCAGCAATGGGTAGAGCCAGATGTACTGTTCTGAATTAACATTTATATGGGAAGATGAGGTTCTTAACCCAATAACTGATTGCTGGGCATTGGGTGCTGAAGCACAAGTCTAGTTATCCTTAGTTACCACCATGCTAGCATGCAAGTCTAAATGTTTAGCATTGCTAAGCTCTTTCCCAGTATGTCATGACAAATTGGAGAGAGTCCAGCGGAGGGCAACAAAAAACTAGGGGGCTGGGGCATATGACTTATGAGTAGAGACTGAGGGAACTGGGCTTATTTAGTCTGCAGAAGAGAAGAGAGGAGGAAGGCTGCTATCAAATCCAATTACCTGAAGGGGGGTTCCAAAGAGGATGAGTTTGGCTGTTCAGTGGTGGCAGATGACAGAACAAGGAGCAATGGTCTCAAGTTGCAGTGGGGGGAAGGTCTAGGTTGGATAATAGGAAACACTATTTCACTAGGAGGGTGGTGAAACACTGGAATGGGTTACCTAGGAAGGTGGTGAAATCTCCATCCTTAGAGGTTCTTAAGGTCAGGCTTGACAAAGCCCTGGCTGGGATGATTTAGTTGGGGTTGGTCTAGATGACCTCCTGAGGTCTCTTCCAACTCTAATATTCTATGATACACAATGCATTACCAACCTATAGAACTTGCTGTAAGAGGTACATAGTTTTAAATGAGTTCCTGTATAGTTTTTCCAAAATTTCCACCACATTTAAAAAACAAACAAAAAAAAAAACACAAAAAAAGCCACACAACTAGACAGCCCTAATTTTTTAATCTGTTCATATGGAAGTTTAAATGGCTTAGATACTGTGACAGCTGTGTGATCCTTTTGACTCTCCCTCTCCCATATATGACTAGAAATGAACACTGTATTTGAGGTTAGCTTTTAACACCAGTTTACATAGCAATACAAGTTCAGCCTTTTGCATTCATTTCAGTGTTATATATTTTTTTTTTAAATCAGTACTACACTTTTTCTTGGTCTCTTCCTAATATACTAAAGTATATTTAGAACACCGTTGGATATGTTGATGTTGAGACTCCCAACATGTATTATCATGTATTTGATTACATGGATTTGACCCATCCTAGCTTCTTTGTTTTCAAGATCACTGACATGCTTCATGCATCTAGTTTTAGACCAAAATTGATGTCTATTAGTTCCTCCTCCCCAACTGCTGACTGCTCACCCCCTGCTGCAGCCTAGTACATGAAATATTAACTATGTTGAACAGTGGAATGCTTCACTTCTGGTCAGTTTTCAGACTAAGAAGTTTATCCTCAGTTTCCTCTTAACCAATTTAGAATTCAGGACAGATCTTTGCTTCTCACTGCATTAGTTTATTTTGCTTAATAACTTCTTGTGAAGCACTCTCAAGAGCCTTCTGAAAAACCTAAGTAACTTATCTACCACTTCTGCTTTCTCCACTAGGCCCTCAAAGAATTAATAGGTTTGAAAGGATAATTTCCCCATACAAAAGCCACACTTGTGGCTTATTTAGATTTTAAACCTGGCTTTAGTTTGCCCAGTAGTCAAGTTCATTTTTACTGGTCTGAGTTCCCAGGATGATTTGGTAGCACATTTTTAGGAGTTACACCAGCTATCAAATATTAGCACACTTCAAAATTAGATTTCACATCTGTTATCAGTTCAACCACTTTGTCACATTGCTACCCTGTCCTCTAACTTACTGTAACTTGATAAATCTATTAATATCTTAAGAGGATGTGTTGGAAGAAACTAGAACCAAAAAAAAAGGTCATGAAATGAATCCCTGGTAGTTTCTCATGTCACACTGCTATTAGATGCAACTTTAAGCTGCATCAGGTATCTCTACACCATTTTTATATATAGTGTATAGTAATACTTTATACACAACCTCTGTTTTCCCCTCAAGCTTCCATTTGTAGGAGTATAGGTTTAGTATTACCCATCTGAATAGTTAGATTTAAAAACAGGGTTCCACTCAATGGATTTGGAAGCTCCTGTGCCCTACTGCAACAATCTCACATTGCTAATTGCCTGTTCCTTTGGTGAATTAACAAAATCCACATTTGGGAGCAAGTCATACCTGGTTAAGAAGAACTAGATTGGCCCAAGGCTCGATTGCTTCTTAAATTAGAGGATTAGTAAAAGGTTTTGAATCTTGATTTTCAGTTTCATGGGTTCAAACAATTTGGCCACTAGTTATTCTTCTCAGTATGTTTCATTGAAACAGTATAAGTGACATTCACCCATTTAACAATTATTTAGAGCTAGTATGGTTTTTGGTTAAAAATCTCAACCACATCAGCGACATGTTTTGTACCAGCACAGAAAACACAAAAATGGAAAGCTCCCTACGGCAGGGAAAACACCACAGTGGCCCAACACTGTAGCATTTAATTTCAGAAAAGGGAACTACACAAAAATGAGGTTAGTTAAGCAGAAGTTTAAAGCTACAGCACCCAAAGTAAAATCCCTGCAAGTGGCATGGAAACTTTTTAAAGACACCATAATAGAGGCTCAACTTAAATGTATACCCCAAATTAAAATAAAACACCATAGTAATAACCAAAAGAGCACAAAAGTAAAAGAAGCATTGAGAGGCAAAAAGACCACCTTTAAAAAAGTAGAAATTAAATCCTGGTGAGGAAGATAGAAAGGAGAATAAATTCTGGCAAATGAAGTGTAAAAATATGATTAGGAAGGCCAAAAAAGAATTTGAAGAACAGCTAGCCAAATATTCAAACATGTAAGAGCAATTTTTTTAAATTATATCAGAAGCAGGAAGCCTGCTAAACAACCAGGGGGCCACTGGACGATCAAGATGCTAAAGGAGCACTTAAGGACGATAAGGCCATTGCAGAGAAGCTAAATGAATTCTTTGCTTTGGTCTTCACAGTTGAGGATGAGGGAGATTCCCAAACCTGAGCCGTTCTTTTTAAGTGACAAATCAGAGGAACTGTCCCAGATTAAAGTGTTAGAGGAAGTTTACCAATTTGTTCCAAAACTAAGTCAATAAGTCACCAGGACCAGATGGTATTAACCCAAGAGTTCTGAAGGAAATCAAATGTGAAATTGCAGGACTACTAACTATAGTCTGTAACCGATCATTTAAATCGGCTTCTGTACCAAATGACTGGAGGATAGCTAATGTGATGCCAATTTTTAAGAAGGGCTCCAGAGGGGATTCCAGCAATTACAGGCTGGTAAGCCTGACTTCAGTACCATGCCAACGGGTTGAAGCTATAGTAAAGAACAAAATTGTCAGACACATAGATGAACATAATTTATTGGGGAAGCGTCAACATGGTTTTTGTAAAGGGAAATCATGCCTCACCAATCTACTAGAATTCTTTGAGGGAAGTAAACAAGCATGTGGACAAGGGGGATCCAGTGGATATAGTGTATTTAGATTTTCGGAAAGCCTTTGACAAGATCCCTCACCAAAGGCTATTAAGGAAAGTAAGCTGCCATGGGATAAGAGGGAAGGTTCTCTCATGGACTGGTAACTGGTTAAAATGTAGGAAACAAAGGGTAGAAACAAATTGCCAGTTTTCAGAATGGTGAGAGGTAATAGTGGTGTCCCCCAGGGATCTGTATTGGGACAGTCCTATTCATAAATGATTTGGAAAAAAGTGGTAAACAAACAGCGAGGTGGCAAAATGTGCCGAGGATACAAAATTGCTCAAGATTGTAGTTCAGTCCCAGGAAGACTAAGAGCTACGAAAGGATCTCTCAAAACTGGGTGCGCAAAAAAAAAAAAAATAAAAAGTTGAATAATGATAAATGCAAAGTAATGCATTGGAAAACAAACCCAACTATACATATAAAATGATGGTGTCTAAATTAGCTGTTACTACTCAAGAAACATCTTTGAGTCATTGTGGATAGTTCTCTGAAAATATCCACTCAATGTGCAGCAGCAGTCAAAAATCAAAAACAAAAAAACAGAACATTGGGAATCATTAAGAAAGGGATAGATAGTAAAACAGA